CTGCGGCAAGTGCAGCCGAGCTGATGGCCGAGTGCTGTGATGTGCCGAGTGTGGGTACTCCGGGAAATCCAAGCCAGGACTGCTTTGCAAGCGGGGAACCCCTGAGAACTGTCTGTCTGTCCGGGGTGGGGGTCGGGTCCCTTTAATTTAATTTAATTTAATTTAAAAAACAGCCCTCGGCTAGCCTGAGACAGCAGCTCCATACTCTTAAGTCCTAATCTGATGCCCTGCCGGCACTGCTTCTGACCATCCTTAACCTCAGTTCAGGGTCCACTCAGTGTGGACATGCTAGTTCGAATTAGCAAAACGCTAATTCGAACTAGTTTTTAAGTCTAGATGCGCTAATTCGAATTAGCTTAGTTCGAATTAACTAATTCGAACTAAGTTAGTTCGAATTAGTGCTGTAGTGTCGACATACCCTAAGAGACAAGAGGGAAAAGCCATATTTATACCTGACCTCTTTTCTAATTAATTACTTAGAAAGATGCAGGTAATTACCCAAACTCTAACTTTGGAAATTACATAAGTGTTCCCTTTAAAGGCAATAAAGAGCAGCAAATTACTACTGTCTTAATACCTGGGAAAATAATGAGGAGTCCTATGGCACCTTATGCAATATGATGGAGACTAATTTGGCAACAGCTACTCAAGAGACAGATCTTGGAGTCATTGTGGATAGTTCTCTGAAAACATCCACTAAGTGTGCAGTGGCAGTCAAAGAAGCAAACAGAATGTTTAGGAGTCATTAAAAAGGACAGAGAATAAGACAGAAAATATCTTTTTGCCTCTATATAAAACCATGGTACACTCACATCCTGAATACTATGTATAGATGTGGTTGCATCTCAAAAAAGATATCTTGGCGTTGGAAAAGGTTCAGAAAAGGGCAACAAAAATTATTAGGGGTTTGGAATGTATCTCATGTGAAGAGAGATTAAAAAGTCTTGGACTTTTCAGCTTAGAAAAGAGGAGACTAAGGGGGGATATGATAAATATCTATAAAATCATGACTGGTGTGGAAAAAGTGAATAAGGAAAAGTTATTTACTTCTTCCCACAATATAAGAACTAGGGGTCACCAAATGAAATTAATATGCAGCAGGTTTAAAACAAACAAAAGGAAGTTTTCCTTCACTCAGCGCACAGTCAACTTGTAGAACTCCTTGCCGAAGGATGTGGTGAAGGCTAGAACTTCTACAGAGTTCAGAAAAGAGCTGGATAGATTAATGGAGGTTAGGTCCATCAGTGGCTATTAGCCAGGATGGGTAGGAACAGTGTCCCTAGCCTCTGTTTCTCTGGAGGTAGGTGACAGGGGAGGGATCACGTGAGGATTACCTGTTGTGATCCCTCCCTCTGGAGCTTCTGGTATTGGCCACTGTCAGCAGACAGGACACTGGGCTAGATGGACCTTTGGTCTGACCCAGTATGGCCATTCTTATGAGGATTATTTTACAGATTTATTGGGGCATTGGGACAGGTGGTAGTTTGCCCTCTGGCAAACTATCTTGGATCGACCTAGCGGCCTGCTGCGAGGCAAGCTACTGCCTGTCCCAATGCTCTGATAATTCTGTTAGTCTCTAAGATGCCACAGGACTCCCCATTTTGTTTGCAGACTAACACAGTTCCCCCTCTGAGACTTAAGACCTATGGATGTCTGCAGACTGTGTGTAGTCTGCATCTTGCCTTTAATTTCTGCATGTGTATTCTGGATCGACCTAGCGGCCTGCTGCGAGGCAAGCTACTGCCTGTCCCAATGCTCTGATAATTCTGTTAGTCTCTAAGATGCCACAGGACTCCCCATTTTGTTTGCAGACTAACACAGTTCCCCCTCTGAGACTTAAGACCTATGGATGTCTGCAGACTGTGTGTAGTCTGCATCTTGCCTTTAATTTCTGCATGTGTATTCTGTCTGCA